ATTTCATTCATTTATCATTAATAATTAGTTCTTTTATTTCCGTTGAACTTGGTCGTGCTACAAAAATTGCCTAGTTTCATGTTACATAGCACATGTTCATTGTATTCTATGCATGACATTAAAGGCCTGTTTGGATCGGATTAAAAACTGATTTTAATTTAAGTCAAAGTCAAACAATCAATATTAACCAGATCTTTCATGGATCCCACATCTTTTCAACCACACATTCAAAAACTTCTATCACAATTCATGGAAAGAGCCTAGTAAACTTGGTCGTGATACGAAAATGGCTTTGAACACGAATTCACTGTATTCTCGTATGGTGCTAAATTATTCGAAAGAAAGAGTCTAGTAAACGTGGTCGTGCTACAAAATGACCTGGATCTAGTAACTTCAAATATAATTAAGTTACATGTGAACTTTAATCAATTCCAAATAGTTTTAAATGATTGGGGCCAATCATGCTAAAATTTAACAAAGAACAGCAAGATTCGTACACAAGGTGACAAGGAATCCTAATCAGGGTCCAATGTGACATTTGATTTGAAGAATAGAGAATATTCTTACCATGTCTAAGGGATTATTCTCAATCAACAAGCCTCGGAGAGGTATTTTGCATAAATTAATGAAAGGTTAACATCATAAAATTCTTTGAGTGTACTATAGCATTTGTTTTCTCCTTTACTCTTCCAACGAATTCAATATCCGTTTTCCCACTTGGTCGTTTTCTATATATATAAAAAAACATTTGGCGGTAATAACCGGTCAAACGCCTAAAAGAGTAAGAGTACCAAATAATAATTTATCTAAATTTTGATGTTATACGCGAGTCAATTTAAGCCTCTGTTCGTTGCTTATAAGTAGAAGAAAAATAATCGTTGGAACAGTGCTCTGCTTACCATTTTTTACCATTTGTGGCTTGTTGGGACCCACCAACTTTTAAAAAAAGGGTCATATTTTTTGGGAAAGAAGTTGGAACAAATGGAGGCTAAATTTTGAAAATTATTTCGGAAAAGCAAATTGTCAATGTTGACAATGAAATCCAACTATTAACAGATCTCAATTCTTCTCCCGTTTATGTGTATATTACATGTACACTTGGATACTATGTTACACTATATAAGACGTGATTTTGGTATGGAGTGACGGTCGCGTGCAATGCTATGCTCAAGTTACATGAAGAATATTTATGTTATTGATAGAGCAATAGACAAAAATATAGGTATCAAGTAGAAGAGGAAATTACCCAGATTGCAATTACAAGCTTTAGCATTAAAAGATTGAGGATCAAGTATTTATGGATTGTAGAGACTCTTCTAGATGTTGGACATGTGATTTTATCTAAATGCTCATTTGTTAAGAGCATGTTTGGGAGTGATTAAAATTCAATTAAAATTAAAAATATAGTCGTTACTGGATTCCACTCGTGTAATAAAAGTCAACAATAACGATTAATTTTTCAATTTTAATCCGATTATTTCTATTCATAGCCTTCATAGACTTGTGGTCTCCATAGCCTAAATATAAGCAGAGAAGTTGTGGTTGAATTGAATGTCGCTACTAGAAAGTTATCACATCAATCGATCAAGTGTACAGTGTGCAATTTGGCCAGGAAACTTGTGGCAGATGCCAATTGTAGCAGATGTCCATGGCCTCGAGAATATGCTTGAGTAGAGATGTGAGGCTTCATCTGGAATAAAAACATTTCGGACGATCGTTCAAAAGTATGATCTAATCGTTGCGAAAGAGTGTGGACCTTATATGAATTTTTGCTTAATTGATTATCAAGTTGGATGGTTCATAAACATAAGCGTAACAATCAATATTCTTAGGAATCCGAAATTCTTACTTGGGAAGCACGGGATAACAAAAAGTAGGAAAAAAATTCATTAATTCCCGATTTTTACTTTTTAGGATTTTAATTCTCCACCTACTCCACGAGGTTCTATTCATTGCACGTGAATTTCGACCGACGACACAAAAAATACAAAAGATTCCAAGTCATTTGAGCTGGGTGATTAGCCCTGTGATTCCCAATATCTTAAAAATTGATCCAGATATTGACTCGCGGGTTAAATGGTCGAACTAGTATCGAATCGGATGACAAATTAAATAAATAAATACACAAATAAACTATAAAATATCATAACTATAATAGATTTTTTAATTTTAGTTTAACATTTCAAAGTAAATATGTCCAAAATAACTATAGTAATTTATTTTATAACCTCAAAAACAAACAATTAATATGTCCAAAATAATTTGCTTTGTTTCAATTGAAATTATTCGTGATTATAATCTTGTTTGGGGTTATGATTTGTTAACGAAAATAATGAAGTAAGCTAGTAAACACGTATATCTAGCAATTGACCAGCATTCCATATTGGAAGATTACTACAACATTGGAAGAATGGTCTATTTTAAAAAGGAGCTAGCGTCACACATTAAAAAAAGAATAATACTATTCATCCCCAGTAGGATTTTAACCACAGTTTATGTGACTCTAAATGATAGGTTTAGTGAAAGGTGAAATTAAATAACTTATTTAGGCCCTGTTTGGGAGGGATTAGATTTTTCTACGGTAAATCAATTCTCATTTTCAACCACACATTCTTCAATAAAATAATATTTTTCATCACATCAATAATTTTTTCTTCCTTTTCAACCACACATTTTCCATCATATCACTATTCAAAATCAATTCTTCCCCCAAAAATCTCTCCCAAACAAGCTCTTAATTTCACATGTCATTTAATGCTACGTTAACACCATCTAAACTGAGATTGTAATCCCGTGAGACTAAATAACATTACTCTTAAAAAAATATTAAAACATTGAAAGAAGGTTCTCCCGTTTTAGTGTGAAAATCATGGGACCTTTCTATCATATTTGATGTCTTGATTCTTGGGTGAGTAGACTAGATGATTACTCGAGAATTTGATTCTCAATATGACTATTTTTTGATGTCGTCGTGCACAACCTAAAGTTTTGGCGTAAAAGAACTTGGATATTTCTATATAATTTGGTGTTTCACTTCTTGAGTAGACTAGATGGTTACCTCGATTTTTAATCTAATGACTATTTTCATATCAAACCCTTAAGTTGAGGATGATGGCGCTCAAATTAAAAAAAAAAATAAAAAAAAATCAAGAAAATGAGTTGAGATCCATTGATCATCGACATCGTTGAATTTCGAGGTGAATAGCATTCATCTCGAAGTTTGAAAGTTTACCAAAAAGTAATGCTTCTTAAAATATTTTATTTTAATACGAGATTGCCATTAGTAGGGACAAATCAGGGTAAAAAATCGTCCGGAGACCAATGTTAAAACATTTCAGTGTAGAACACACCTCGTCCTCTTCTTTTCTTTCTTACTTTCTTTTTTTTTTAAATGAACACTCACCATATGCTTTACGTGGCAAGGAGGTCGACAGCAGACAGAATCACCTACAACTCAGCACATGTTACTTTCTATGCGCCACCAAATGAACGATTAAATTAATTGATCCCGCACGATCATAAACGAAAGTTCATCGCCCCACGCTTGTTGCCTGCCACGTGTCCACCTTTGAATTGCTATAAATATCCTCCCTCGCTATCTTATTATTCCTTTGTTCTCGTCACTGTATAAAAAAGGGAATTTCAATAGAATTTCATAAAGCACAGTTTTAACGGTATTGCAATATTCACAGAACCCAAAAAAAAAAAAAAAAGAGANAATTTCATAAAGCACAGTTTTAACGGTATTGCAATATTCACAGAACCCAAAAAAAAAAAAAAAAAGAGTCAATATCGAAATTTTGATGTGGAAATTTTCAGATTGTATTTGTTTTGAACTGTCTGCTGAGAATTTCTAGGGTATTCCTTGCTGTCGACTCAAAACTGTTGGAACAGTTTCGCAGGTCAGCGTTTCAATACTTGATTTTCAGATTTTGATTGTAATAATTACGTTAAAATAAACTATGAATACGAAAAGTTATGGTGGTAATTGATTTAATTGCTGCTCAATTACTAGCATTATTATAGCTGTTAAATTTTCAGTCGTACCAATCACAAGTAAGATCGATTGATGAACTTGAATCTGATGAATATAATTGTTGTTTAATGCTGCAGTGATCGGAGAAACACATCATCTGTACTTGTATCTTTAGGCTATAGCTGTGTACACAAAAGTGTTTTGTTTCGCGAACAGATGTTTTAGTTTAAGAAAATGCAATCCTATATGAAAATATAATATCTGATTTATTAGGGTATTAAATGCATTGATATTCAATGTAATTGAAACTTTGGTTTGATCTAAATTTTGTACCATGTTGGTCATTTTATCAGCTCCACATCACTTAAGCTATCTGAATTCCAATTTGATTTGTGCGGAACTTATATATTCAGAGTTTGTATTATTCAACTTTATAATTCTTATTACGGCACGGGATCAATGAGATTGCAGAAGTTCCAAATTTTTGCCTTTTTCAGTTAGATTAAGTAATTAGTATTGCTATTGCAGAGTATCACAATATTTACTTTATAACATTATATCTTTTTTGTTATTGTTGACAGGGCTTTTGTGGAATCTAGAGTTAATTCTGGGGTGCACCTAGAGACACAGAATGAACACGGTAATCTTTCCTTATTTAACTACAGCTCATTAGATTTTTGACCAATTAGTTAGCTGATATAAGTTCTTAACTAATCACAGACATTCAAACCGAAATGCTCATTCTAAATTGATAAGGTAAGAGAGAAAAATAAAATTAAAGGATAAATAAAATGATAGCTAAATGATCTTTTGTTGCATAGACACCATTGATGTTTAAGTCTTTACCATATAAAGGAAGTTTATTTTCCTGTTCTAATAGTGGTTTTGAATAGATTAGATTGTAGAAGTGGTAGAAGACATATCATAGTAAGATACTACCATTGACCGATTAACATAACACAAGGTGCCTGAGAAGTTTTTCTCTTATGTTGTGCAGATATTTAGTTTATAATAATCATTTCTCATGGAGACTGATGAAAGGTACACTACTGCAAACCATTTAAGACTAAAGAAGTTATAGTAATTAAACTCTAGATTTGTTGTTTTCACTTGCACATGGGAAAATGGATAATTAAATTGTAACTTTCATCTGATAGGAGTTGTGAGAAGGTCTTCTCAAATGGAGATATATATCTTGGTAATTTCAAGGGGATGCTTCCGCATGGAAATGGTAAATATACTTGGTCAGATGGAACAATTTATGATGGTGACTGGGAAGAAGGGAAAATGACAGGGAAAGGTAAGATATTTTGGTCGTCGCAGGCTACATATGAGGGTGATATTGCTGGGAATTACCTCCATGGTTTTGGAACTTTTTCTGCTTCTGATGGGTCCATATACAGAGGTTATTGGAATATGAATTCTCAGCATGGCATTGGAAGGAAGCAATATCGGAACTCGGACATTTATGATGGTTGTTGGAGAGAAGGAGTACGTGAAGGCAGTGGTAGGTATGCATGGAGCGATGGATACTCATATATTGGAAATTGGAAGAAAGGGAAAATGTCTGGTAGAGGGGTTATGAGATGGTCCAATGGTGATCTTTTTGATGGCTTCTGGTTGAATGGGTTAAGACACGGTTCAGGCTTCTATAGATTTGCTGATGGAAACTATTATTTTGGGACATGGACCAAAGGGCTGAAGGATGGACGTGGAATATTCTATCCTGCTGGAAGTAAGCATCTAAATGAGCATAATCTTGAGGGACAGGAAGACAAGAAGACAAAGATGCTATCACATAGTTCGTCATTAGATTCGGAGGACTCTGTAATACCTAGTGTGAAGCGTAGTCTTTCTGATAAAATTTCACATAGTTTTCTAAGACGTTCAGGACGCATGTCACATAAAACTATATCCCTGGTTTCTGATTTGGGCTCTAATGATTCTACTAGAAAAATTACATCATCCTTATCTCGCAGCTTGCGAGATGGTCAAAGTGAGTTGCAAGATAATAGTGCTGTGGCTTATGAGAGGGAATATATGCAAGGAGTCCTTATTAAGGAAAGAACTAGAAATATATCCAAACAATCCCATAAAAACAAGCAACATCTCAAATTTGCGAAAGAGGTCCAAAGGAGCTCATGTGTGAACATTTTTGATTCCCACAGGAGCTATTACCTAATGCTTGGCTTGCAGCTTGGTATCAGGTAGACAAGAGAGGTTCTCTTCCTTTACTATGTTTTTCAATTTGATGTTATGGCGGTGGAACATCTTACTTAAACATCTCATCTGAAGTTCACAGGTACACTGTAGGCAAGATCACACCCGTTCCTATGCGTGAAGTGAGATCATCTGATTTTGGAGAGCACGCCAGAATAAGAATGTATTTTCCAAGTAAAGGTTCCCAGTTGACTCCTCTGCACAATTCAGTTGACTTTTTCTGGAAGGACTACTGTCCTATGGTCTTCAGGTAACTATCTTTTCACATCATTTTTGGAGCATGGTGATTTAAAGTTTTGGCATTCCTTTTATATCGAGTCTACATTACTCTTCTTCTGCTGTGTACAAAAAATTTTTGGTTGTTTGTTTTTCTCTTTCTTGTGGTTTTAGGTTACCGAGACTCTTACCCCGATCTTTTAATTTACGTGGATATAACTGTAAAAACAAATTAATTCTTAAGCGGGATTTTAAGTAACTGCCTCCTTCGTTTCTAATATAGAATTATCTTTCCTGTGAGTTTGATATTACAAGTTAATTCTTCTTTCAGTTATCTGAGAAGGAATTTAGTTGCCTTCATATATAGGGAGATTAGTTCAGCAGATATCCGTGCCTAGCAATCTGATGGCTATTCCAATTTTATATGTTGTTAAGGATTCTTCTCACACCTTCTGATTACAACCACTAATTTGGATTTATGTTCTTGTTTATTTTTAAATAAATGGAACAAGTAATAATGTATTGTTACCACAAGAGGGTTGATGCTTCTTTGACTGCAGTATATGCAATTTCTAATTCCTAGTGGACGTAGTCTGTAGCACGGACACTTCAATTAGGGTAGCCTGTCCGTTTCGGACACGAGTCGATACCGACATTTCTCGAACACTCTACCGTAATCATTTTTTTAATATAAGAAATATTATATATTTTTAATTCAAAGTTATTAGTAAATAACAAATAGGTACTCATGTTTAAAAAATTTCAATAAGAAAAATTAATAACAAGTATAAAACTAAATTTATACTATATAAATGAAGAATTTTTAAAAATTTAATCAAAGTGTCGATGACATATCGTGTCTGTACTTTTTTTAAAAATAGCGTGTAGGCGTATCCGACACGTATTTTGTTGGACACACGCATCCGTGTCGATGCATCATAGAATGTAGGTTTTGATAATTAAGCGACCTTTATTTATTGAAAAGCATTTAAGACATACCGGCAGCATCTAATTGCTGTTTGAAGTAGATAAGAAATGCATGCGACATGTGTTGGTCATTGTATGAAACCAGGGGTGGACGCAGAATTTAAAAGTTAGGGGGACACAATTGAACTTGCAAAGAAGTTGAGAGAAATTTTACGATCGAAAAGTTACGTCCAAAAAAATCATACCCAATGTAATTTTACATCCAAAAATTTACATAGGATATGAATTTTTTGAATGTAAAATTTCGAAAATTTTTGATGTCATATTCCATATAAAGTTTTCTAATAAAATGATGAAAATTATTGTAATTTTACATCCGAAAATTTACATGGGATATGACTTAAAACTTCCTAATAAAATGATGAAAGTTAAATTGAGAAATTTGTATCGCAAAAATAATAAATGTTAATGAAATAATTGAATTTTAAAAAAAATGCGAGTTAGACGTCTTTTTTTAAGACTCACGTTTAAGTTTTAACTATTTTCGATATTTGTTTGGACTATTCGATATGCCCATAATTTAGTTCTCGAAATAAGTTTTGAGATGACACAAACAATTTGTAGATTCGATTAGCGTACATCGTCGGAGAATTTTTAAAATTAGCATGTTATCGAAATTCAAATTTATTGTGATTTTGCCCCTGTTTGGTGGAGATAAAAATCAAATTTTTATTATTTTTTGATAAAAGTCAAACATTTATGAATTCCATGAAATATGTTATTAAAATTAATTGTTAACTTTGATTTAGATTAAAATTTAGATTTCAATCGATACCAAACACGATTTATAAAATAAAATTAAAATTAAAAATTCTCAAAAGTTGGGGGGCTAGGAACCCCCCCCCCCCCCCCCCCCCCCCCCCCCCGCGCGCCC